TCTATTACGGACCAATTAAGGTTTATTTTCATAAATTTATAATTTTCATCTCACTTGATAGTTTGTATATTGGGTTTTCTTACTCTAACCAAATTTCATCAAGTTGAATCATATTAGTAATATCGAAGTTAAAAATAAAATAAAAAATTGTCCACTCACTGTTACATAGGATAGTCGAAAATTAGATAGAGTTGATTTGTCTCTCCATTTTGATTAATGGATCAAAATTCAGAATTTCATTGATTATAAAAAAAAAACACGTGTAATTTTCATGTCCTGAAGATTTTAACCAAAATAAAAATAAAAATGGCATGCTTAGTGGAACCACCTTCATTCCTTCATATAAAAAAAATGTTAGTACGGTTCATATAGCTAATTTGCCGCAATATGAGAAATATGAGATGATATACCAGCAACAAAAAATTAAAATAAAGTACGATAACTTGAGATGGAAATTTCTGTTGCATCTTAGATAGAAATTTGAATAAAGTATCTAACAAAAAATACAGTTCTCACTTTTGTCACTTACAAAAAAAAGTTAATTTTTGATTCCTCTATAATTCTAGTTCTTTGAAAATGTAATTCTTCATAAATTCAATAAAGATCCAATTTAGTCTTTAAAAAAAGATTAATATCAATTTTTTTTGTAAGAGACGAAGTGAAGATCATATTTTTTATTAGAGATTCAAAAAAGACTTTACTCTAAAAAAATTTATTGCTATAAATTTTGTGAAGAATTTTGCAAATTGTTTGGTTTGATATTGGCCAATATTTGATAGGGAAGTTTCGTAGGGATGAACTCTCAACCCTAAAGGTGGGATATAGAAGTCTCAAATGATCCACTATCTTTCTATTTCATCCTTTTCTCCTTAGGCCCAGAGAGAAAAATTATTGGACATTTCAAGTACCTGACTAAATTCTTGGGCCTCAAGATTTTATTGGGCAACATTGTGCAAAAACAAAAGTTGGTATGAAATTTGTTCTTACCGCGATGGAAATTCTCTATATATAATGAATAAGCCTAACGAAATTATGTTGAAATGTGAAGTTTGCACTTAAATATATGGTAATAATTTTCTAAAATCATTATAATAGCTTCTAGACAATATTAGTTGAAAATAGTACGTGTTATCAAAGATATAAAAATTTATGCACAATGTTCTCGATTTTTACACCAAAAAACTCAAACTCCTGGATTTTTTATTTGGACACACATTTTTTCCCTAGAAATATTGGATTTGAAAAACTCTATGGATCTTTCAATTACTAATTACATCTTGTGCCAACATAACACATTCATTAATTAGGATTATACACATTATTTTGGACTGACCACATATCCCCAATTCATTGAACTGGTCACAAAAAGTTCATTATAGGAGTTGAACCGCAGCACCCTAAAGTGAAACAAATGTCCTCGCATTGTACTAGATCTCCCGTTTCCTAAGCACACACAGGTGAGAGTGTGCTGCTTCACTTCTAATGATATCCACAAAGGTAAAATAATTATGGCTCATCTCTCTCACACTAGAGAATTTTCTTTCCTTGTAAATATCCATCTTCATTGAAAAGACACAAATTGCATAATCTCTTACTTTACTATTACTTTGTTGGAATATAGCCATCTAAGCTACTGTGCCCTCACACTCCTCCTAATTCTGAGTATTCACCTGAAATCATTCATAGTGATTCATAGTATGAGAGTTTGTAAACAAAAAATTTATAAATATAACATTTTTCCCATAACATTATATGATAAATTGTACATTTTTTAAACAAATTACATAGCATTCATTTCTCCTAATATAAATATTAATCATTACTGTAATTTTTATAATAAAAGTTTGGAGGTAGCTAGGTTCACCTTATTTAATTATATATTCAGCTTGGGATATAGTGGCGGTCTGCGAAGCACATGGTATTCTCTATGATAAGTTAATTATTTGTTCATTTAAAGCTTATTGACCATTTCCTCAGCTAAGGTCTCAACCTGTTGTCCTATTCCTTCTCCAAACATTCATGTGATCACATGTGTCCCCATGTTTCACATCTGATTCTCTCTCCCTCCAGGAACATTTGACCAAATATTATACCCTAGCTAGATATACTATTTCAGTTATTACAGTTATGGAGTTAGTTGCATTTGTATACATAAACTGCCAACATATATTTTTAAAATAGTTTTAGATTATGATTGTAGAAGCAGCTTGTAGAAGAGCATATAGAGCTTAAAAGGTCATTTTATAATGTCCGACGTTTGTTTTTTATTTTATTTTTTATATATTGACCCTAATTATTTTTTTAAAGTGAGTGGACTTTTGCGGATTCCTACAAACTTCAGTTTTTTGAGTTGGTTATGAGACTAATCTCGAGTTGGAGTTTAATCACAATTAAAGCTCTTCGCCCTTCACCCAAGTGTGGTGACTCAGTTGGTAGTATAGGGACTGAGTGGTGGGAGAGGACCTCGGTTCGAATCTTACCAACACCATCTGGGGAGGGGCATAAGTACCGTAATCCTTGAACTCGCACCCGAACTTTGGATTAGTTTCATAGGCTGCTCAAAGAGTCGAACCCGGGCGGCTCAAAAAGTCAAACTCGTGAGAATACCAGGGAATTCTGATTCGCCTCAAAGACTAATTAGGATCAATTACCAAAAAAAAACTCTCCGCCAATCTCCAAAGATGTATTTAATCCCATTGGGTACATAACTTTTATTTTATACTCTAAGAAGCAGACAAGAATTGGGGTCAATATCTGCATGTAGCACATTGTAACTTCTGATTGCACAGAAGAAGATCAAACCCCGAACTATATCTAGATTCATTGAACTAACTGATTGACATTAAAGTCCACATTTGGATCCTCAAAATCATAACTGAAAAACTTGCTTAAAATTTTCTGTTATTCTTTTTCTCTTAAAAACAATATATATATATATATATATATATATATATATATATATATATATAAAAACAACTTTGTGTGGATGCTTATAGCCTTCATTGTGTGGATGGAAAATAGCTTATAGCCTTCATAAGGGTGAAAGCAATGGGAATTAAATAATAATAGCCTTGCGGCCTTGCCTACCGAGAGAGAGAGAGAGAGAGAGAGAGAGAGAGAGAGAGAGAGAGAGAGAGAGAGAGAGAGAGATGGCGAGGCAAACACCCCTAAAAATGGAAGATAGGAAAAGAACTAAGGATAAAAAATAATTTAATTTTAAATAATTAATTTTCTCCACACTTATTTTGGAGTAGAGATTTTAAGTGATCCCATCTTATATTTTATAAATTTTAAATAACATTCTTTGGTTTCTAAGAATGGATGTTATTTAACAAGAAAATAATGATGGACTTGATAATTGAGAAGTTGTTAGTTAAGAAAAGTTTGAATAAGATCACTTGACCAAAAAAAAGTAAATAAAAATTTATGACTGTTGAAATATTCTTCATAATTAAAGAGGTGGTTATCAAAATTAAAGGTTGATAAGATACTTAATTATTTGCCAAAAATACGAAGTTAAATTTATCCAAAAAAACTCTATCAAAAAATTGTACCCCCCCCCCCCCCCCCACAAACCTTGTATAAACAAAACCACTCTACAATGATAAATATTTCTTTCCATAAATATCGTACAAAGGAGGGATCTTAATTAGGTCCAAAATTGCATTAAGGATGTTCAAAAATTAAGAAGACGTTTATTCATGAGTCAAGGGGGAAATAAAAATAGTAGACTTGATATATATTTTAAACCAAAATCTTAAAACATTAAATATGAGTAGTTTCATTTATATATTTATTATTTAGAACATTTTTTTATTAATATATATACTCAAATTTCTAACAATAAGGACATCAAAATATCAAAAAAGTTGCATTCCTCCTTAAGCATATATAAATGAAGCTTAATAAGGTCATAGTTAAGCATATACCGAAAGAGTTGTAAGTTTGACTTAACTCAATTATAGTGGGTGAATGTGCTACACGTTAAGCCATAATATTAAAAATATATCTAAAGTGAGAAATAACAATGACAATTGAAATGATATGCATTTAATGGGAGGGGTTATATTGACAAACTTTTTTCCTTACAAATTTACAAACTACACTAAGTCTAGTCAGACTTCAATGAAAAGACTGTGACCAGCCAGATTTAATGTAATTTATAAGAAAAAAGAATTTGTCAATACAACTTTTCCTGCATTTAATAATAAAAAATAAGAAATTTCTCTTGTTCCGATAAGTTAACATCTCTCGATTCAATGTTCCATAAGAATTAAATGTTACCAATGATAGGAAGGCATTAACCAATATTGGTAATAGAGATAACTTTGTTTCAGTTCACTTCATCCTAAAGTACAAGATCTAATTGTCTAGCCTCATGCATGTGTAAGGATAAAATTTTGGTCTGGATTTACGAGATTACGATTATATTACAGTTATTATCATGCCATTTCCACTAGAATTATATTTAATTCGGCACATGTAAGATAAGAAAAATTAAATCCACTTGGACTAGAAGAATGAAACTTCATGTGTTGATGCATAATTGAACGAATATATGACCTATATATATATATATATATATATATAGGATCCTGATACACATCAGGAAACCAGAAGCAATGAACCAAGGAGAATAAATAGAGAAAGAAAACCTTCATCAAGGCTTAGGGATTTTTTGTGTTAAAGACACGTATCAACACGTGTTAATTCTTTGAGGAATTAGAGACAGGTGTAGGAATAAAGGGAAGGGAACTGGAGTATTCACACGTGTAAGGGTGTGGAAAGAGAGAATTGTATAAAAGGGAAAACAGGGGACATTAGTGGGTCATCAATTCATTGTTGTAAAAACACTTGGCTACCATTGAATAAAATTCTTCTCTCTCTGTTGCTCAGAGGTATTACCCATTTTTGCATCTCTTTGATTCGTTTGGTTCTCTTTTCCCTGTTGCTCAGGTAGAGTCCAACATTGGTGCTTTCATTCTTGTTCTCTCCTCACGATGCGGGTTCAGGAACTAGCGGAGGTCGTTGCATCTTTGCAGAATCGTTTCGACGAATCACAAAACCAGATCTCACTACTGGTTGCTCAAATGCAACAATTGAATGATTCCATGGGGGTTCTTCATTCGCAGGCAGGCAAATCACCGGAGAATCAACACGATTCAGGCACAGGTTCATCTTCGGCTGGCTCCGCAGATTTTCATAACGAGATGGGGCAAAAGGATACCACAGACCCACGATCGTTGCTGAAATTTGTGAGAATGGAGATTCCGCTATTTGATGGCACAAATCTAGATAATTGGATTTTCAAAACAGAACTCTTCTTCGAATTACAGAAGGTTCCACCGGCGTTAAAGGTTCAATTAGCAGGTCTGAGGATGGAAGGTCCTGCTTCATCATGGTTCCAGTGGACTTACAAAGGAGGAACAATTCGTCTATGGCCAGATTTCACAAAGGCATTACGGCAGCGTTTTGGTGTGAAGCCACATCAAAACATTACGGGCATGCTTTCTAAGGTAACACAAACAGGGACACTCAAAGATTATTTGTTTGAATTTGAAAAGTTGATGAATCAGACTACCAATGTTGATGATGATTTGTTATTGAGTTTTTTTGTTTCGGGGTTATCTCCTGATTTACGAAGAGCAATTGAAATTCATGAGCCAAAGACTCTTCAACGAGCAATGCATTTTGCATTTGTTTATGACGCTCATTACACAGACCTACGTGTATCTATGAATAATGGGGCATCAAACAACCCGAAGAGAACACAATTTCGCAGCTACCAGTCCAGTGAAGGGGTGACCAATCAAACTGCGAACATAACGTCTTCGGTGGGCACCTCAATACCCAACAAAACTGTAGCAGTCCACTCTTCAACAACTCAGAATCCATCATCTCAGACATCAACATCCCATGTACCGGTTAAGAGAATGTCTCAAGAAGAGTGGAATAAAAGACGTGAATTAGGCCTATGTTTTAGTTGTGATGAAAAATGGAATAAACAGCATAGATGTAAAGGGAAACTCTTACTTCTGGTGGGAGAGGAGCAGGGCGATGAGGAAGATGGAGAGGAAATTGTTTGGAACTTTAATGAGACTGGTGCGGTCAATGAGGATGCATCACTGCATTCTTTGTCTGAAATACACAATTCCAAAGCCTTGAATTTTGTTACCACCATTCAAGGACAAACAGTAACAATACTAGTAGATACTGGTAGCACGCATAGCTTTATACAGAGACATTTAGTTTCAGCTTTGCAGATCCCAGTGATACGCATCAGGAAAATGAGAGTTTTCCTAGGAAATGGTGAGTTCTTGGTATGTGACAGTAAATGCCTGAAGGTGAAGTTGATGGTGCAAGGCCAGACATTTGAGATGGATTTATGGGTACTTGATCTTGATACACTGGGAATCATCTTGGGAATGACATGGTTGGAATCATTGGGCAAAGTAACACATGATTACAACCAACTAACAATGGAGTTTGATTGGCAAGGGAAGTTGGTTCAGTTGAAGGGGGAATCTCATGAAGGCATCCAAAAGAAGTCTGCAGTAGGGAGTTGTCTATCCTTAGCCTGTGAAACGCAACATCAGTCTGGGACTACATGTTGGGCTTCCTCCTTCAATGCTAAGCCCAAGCCCATTTGAGGGGTTTCCTAAAAACCCTAACCCTAATTTCCACCTCCTCTATATATATACTCATTAGTTGAGGGTAGAGGCAAGGTCAGATTTGAGATGTCAGATTTGAGAGAACAAATTTGAGAGAATTATTTGATTGTTTGAGCAAAAGCTTTATGCTTTGCATTTGAGAGATCTCTAGAGAGAGTTTGAGTGAAACATCTCTAAGGTAGTTTGATTATCACCATTGTTGGAGAGGTTGAGTTAACCACCACATTGGTGTATTTGATTATTTGTAACCATTTTTTTCATAGTGGATTTTTTGATCTGGACTAGGTCCCGTGGGTTTTTACTTCTTCATTGGAGAAGGTTTTCCCACGTTAAATCTGGTTGTGTTCTTCTTCTCTCTCTCTCCTGTTTTCGTTTTGATTTTTCCGCTGCGCTGCCTGACCTGGTGAAGTTCAGGCCGAGGTATTGCCGAGATCCGAGATCGGGATCTTGTTGATTGACTTCCGCACAAAGGCCCCTGAGCCGATCTGAGGGAACCGAGTTTTTCCCAACAGTGGTATCAGAGCCCGAGTTCGACGGGTTCTGAAGGAGACAAGATGGAGACCAGTGGCATAACTCATGATGGAGATATGTTCAAGTTGACCGCAGACAACTTCACTTATTGGAGACCGATGATGGAAGATCATCTCTACTGCAAAGATTTGCATGAGCCCATTATCCTTGATGAGAGACCAGCAGGCAAGACAGATAAGGAGTGGGAGATCCTGAGTCGGAAGGCGGTAGCCACGATCAGGAAATATATTGATAAAAGCCTCTTTGAGCACGTGTCCGAATTCACTAACGCATATGAGTTGTGGACGAAATTAGAGTCCATGATTCAGAAGAAGACTCCCAGGAACAAAGCACACCTGGTTCGCCGACTTGTTAAGCTTGAATACAAGGACGACATGAGCATGATTGAACACCTGAACACCTACAAAGGTATTGTGAATCAGCTGTCAAAGGCTGATATGAAAATTGATGAAGAACTGCAGGCATTGCTGCTGTTGAGCTCGCTTCCAGAAAGCTGGGATACTCTGGTGGTGACCCTGAATAACTCGACTCCAGATGGAAAATTGAAGATGGATGTCGTGACAGACAGCCTCCTGGGCGAAGAATCCAGGAGAAGAGAACGAGGTACTTCGAGTACGTCTGAGGCCAATGTTGCTGAGAACAAAGGGAAATCTGACTCCCGCGGTAGAAGCAAAAGCCGAGGTAGAGGTTGTGATAGACGAGACAAGTCCAGAGGTCGGTCAAAGCCGAAATATGAGTTGAAGTGCTTTTACTGTGGAAAGACAGGCCATAAGAAGCCAGACTGCTGGACCCTACAGAATGATGAGAAGAACGGCTCTGTGAAACCGGATCAGATTATTCCCAAGAAGAGGGAAGACAAGAGCACCACTGCGGTGGCTGCAAATCTTGATGCCGAGATATTCATCTTTGGTGAGGATAATTATTTGAATGTTGCATATGATGACTGCACCTGGATTGTTGACTCCGGTGCCTCCTTCCACGTTACTCTACACAAAGGTTTTTTCTCTTCTTATCGAGGTGGTGACTTTGGAGTCGTGAAGATGGGAAATCAAGTGACCAGCAAGATTGTTGGTGTCGGTGATGTAACTCTGACCACAGATGTCGGATGCCGACTTGTGTTGAAAGATGTAAGGCATGTTCCTGACATGCGTTTGAACCTAATCTCGGTAGGCAAACTTGATGATGCCGGGTTAGTGAACTACTTCGGTAGTGTGAGATGGAAGCTGACCAAAGGAAACTTGGTCGTGGCCTGAGGTAAGAAGGAAGGCTCCTTGTACGTGATGCAAGGAAAAATCAATGGCGGAGAAGCCAATTCTGTTCGAGATGAACCTAGCTTGGAGCTATGGCACAAGCGCCTCGGCCACATGAGCGAGAAAGGGCTACAGATCCTGAACAAGAAAGGATTATTGACCGGGTTGAAAGCCAAGCGTTGGAGAGTTGCACGCACTGCCTAGCTGGAAAGCAGCACCGGGTTTCTTTTGTGAGACCGGATCAACCAAGAAGACGAAGGAATATTCTTGACCTCGTCCATACTGATGTTTGCTCCATGTCGGAGAAATCCCTTGGAGGAGCTCAGTACTTTGTTTCATTTATTGATGACCATTCCTGCAAAGTGTGGGTATATTTGTTGAAGACTAAAGACCAGGTACTCCAATCCTTTAAAGAATTCCATGCGCTGGTTGAAAGGGAGACTGGCAAGAAATTGAAGGTGGTCCGATCTGATAATGGTGGTGAGTATTGCGGCCCATTTGATGCATACTGCAAAGCGGCCGGGATCTGACTTAAGAAGACGCCCCCCAAGACTCCACAGTTGAATGGACTTGCTGAGAGGATGAACAGAACTATTGAAGAGAAGGTCCGAAGCATGTTATCCAATGCCGGATTGCCGAAATCATTCTGGGGAGAAGCCGTCAAAACAACTGTTGACTTGATCAACCTCTCACCATCACGACCACTTGAAGGAGAAATTCCAGAAGAAGTCTGGACAGGTCGGAAAGCGGCCTATAATCAACTGAAAATGTTTGGATGCCGAGCTTTCGTGCATATCCCTAAAGATGAAAGGGCCAAACTTGATGCAAAGACCAAAGAATGCATTTATCTTGGTTCGCCGAGATGTGAGTTCGGGTTCCGACTTTGGGATCCAATCAATAAGAAGATAGTGAGAAGCCGAGATGTGATCTTTCATGAGCATGAGAACATTCATGACATCTCGAAGCCTAAAGTCCGGGTTACTGTCAGACGTGAAGAACCCGTTCCTCCTGTCCGAGCTGAAGCAGGGGGAGAAAATCCAGAAAATGAAGAAAATGATGATCAGCAACAAGCTGAAGATGACCAAGACACTGAGGTCCAAGTTGATGATGAGATCCGGGATGAAAATGATGAACCGGGTTCTCAAGCTGAAGAACAGCCGAGATATCCAACTCGAGAAAGAAGACCCTCTACAAGATACCCATCTGATGAATACACCGTTTTTGCTGAAGACGGTGAGCCTCAGAGTTATGATGAGGCTGTGATGAGCTCAGAGAAAGAAGAATGGAAAAAGGCAATGCAAGACGAGATGAAGTCTCTGCACGAGAATCAAACTTATGAGCTGACTGAGTTGCCTAAAGGAAGACGAGTTTTGAAAAATAAATGGGTCTACAAGATTAAGAATGAAGAGAACGGGAAAAAGCCGAGATACAAAGCCCGGATTGTAGTGAAAGGCTGCAATCAGAAGAAAGGAGTTGATTTTGAGGAGATTTTTTCTCATGTGGTGAAAATGACCTCGGTCCGAACCGTGTTAGCCATGGCGGCTTCGATGGACCTCGAGGTAGAACAAATGGACGTGAAGACGACATTTCTTCATGGTGATTTAGAAGAAGAGATATATATGGAGCAACCTGAAGGATTCCAAGCTCCAGACCAAGAAGACTTGGTATGTCGTTTGAAAAAGAGCCTCTATGGCTTGAAGCAAGCACCTCGGCAGTGGTACAAGAAGTTTGAATCATTCATGACTGATCATAAGTTTGAAAAGACAGATGCCGACCACTGCGTATTTGTGAAGAGGTATGAGGCCGAAGATTTTCTGATTTTTTTGTTATATGTTGACGACATGCTTATTGTAGGGAAAGACAAATCGAGGATAGCCGCCCTGAAGAAGGCGTTGAGCTCGTCCTTCGCAATGAAGGACCTCGGCCCTGCAAAGCAGATTCTCGGAATAAAGATTATCCGAGATAGACAGAAGAAGCTACTATGGCTGAGTCAAGAGAAATATATTGAGAAGATTTTGAAGAGATTCAGCATGGACAAAGCCAAAACAGTGGGCACCCCCCTAGCCGGACACATAAAGCTGAACCAGAAGCAATGTCCGAGATCTGATGAAGACAAAGATGAGATGATGAAGGTCCCTTACCAATCCGCCGTCGGAAGCTTGATGTATGCAATGGTTTGCACTAGACCCGACTTGGCGTATGCTGTAGGAATGGTAAGCCGGTATTTGTCAAACCCTGGCAAAGAGCACTGGGAAGCAGTGAAGTGGATCTTCAAGTACCTACGAGGTACGACCGACTTAAGTCTCCGTTTTGGAGAAGGCAAAACCGAATTGCAAGGCTACTCGGATTCTGATTTAGGGGGAGACGCCGACTCGAGGAAGTCGACTACTGGATGTTTGATGAGATTTGCCGGAGGAGCTGTCTCTTGGCAATCAAGACTTCAGAAATGTGTTGCACTATCGACAACTGAGGCTGAGTACATTGCCGCTACTGAGGCAAGCAAAGAGATGCTGTGGATGAAGAAGTTCCTCATGGAACTCGGCCATGATCAAGACAAGTACAAGATGGGTTGTGACAATCAAAGCGCAATCCATCTTGCAAAGAATTTTACCTATCACTCCCGCACAAAACATATTGATGTGAGGTATCACTGGATCCGGGATGTGGTGGAAGGTGGAGAGCTCGAACTCGTCAAGGTGCACACTGACCAAAATTGGTCCGACATGATGACAAAGCCGGTTCCAGCAAGAAAATTTGAAGACTGCTATGAAGGAGCCGGGTTGATGCTGAAGCCGACGCATTGAAGTCGGAGGGGGAGATTTGTTGGGCTTCCTCCTTCAATGCTAAGCCCAAGCCCATTTGAGGGGTTTCCTAAAAACCCTAACCCTAATTTCCACCTCCTCTATATATATACTCATTAGTTGAGGGTGGAGGCAAGGTCAGATTTGAGATGTCAGATTTGAGAGAACAAATTTGAGAGAATTATTTGATTGTTTGAGCAAAAGCTTTATGCTTTGCATTTGAGAGATCTCTAGAGAGAGTTTGAGTGAAACATCTCTAGGGTAGTTTGATTATCACTATTGTTGGAGAGGTTGAGTTAACCACCACATTGGTGTATTTGATTATTTGTAACCATTATTTTCATAGTGGATTTTTTGATCTGGACTAGGTCCCGTGGGTTTTTACTTCTTCATTAGAGAAGGTTTTCCCACGTTAAATCTGGTTGTGTTCTTCTTCTCTCTCTCCTGTTTTCGTTTTGATTTTTCTGCTGCGCTGCCTGACCTGGTGAAGTTCAGGCCGAGGTATTGCCGAGATCCGAGATCAGGATCTTGTTGATTGACTTCCGCACAAAGGCCCCTGAGCCGATCTGAGGGAACCGAGTTTTTCCCAACACTACATTGGATAGTGAATTAGTTAAACTGCAACCATCTGTTCATCCTGAATTGTGGCAACTTTTGGTGGAATATCAAGCTGTTTTTTCCATTCCAAAGTCCCTGCCACCATTTCGCTTTATGGATCATGCAATTCATTTGGAAATAGGGTCCAAACCAGTCAATGTAAAGCCTTATCGGTATGGCTATCATCAAAAAGAGGAGATAGAGAAGCAAGTGACCGAATTGCTGGCTTCAGGCTTCATCCAATACAGCACAAGCCCTTATTCTTCTCCAGTTTTATTGGTTAAGAAACAAGACAACACTTGGCGGATGTGTATAGATTATAGGGCTCTTAATGCCCTTACTGTTCGTGATCGGTTTCCTATGCCTACTATTGATGAACTAATTGATGAATTGGGAGGATCCGCTATTTTTTCCAAACTTGATTTGAGAGCGGGGTATCATCAGATCAGAATGCTACCTCAAGACATACCAAAGACATCTTTTCGAACCCATGAAGGCCACTATGAGTATTTGGTCATGCCTTTTGGGTTGACAAATGCTCCAAGCACATTTCAGGCAGTGATGAATAATCTCTTTCGTCCCTTCTTATGTAGATTCATTATCGTTTTTTTTATGACATTCTTGTATATAGTTCTTCATTACAGGATCATACACAACACATGCAGATTACATTGCACACTCTTAGCCAGAATCAATTTTTTGTTAAAATGAGTAAGTGTGCCTTTGGAGTGGAGGAGATTGACTACCTTGGCCATAAGGTGTCCCACAAAGGTGTTCATGCTGATAATAAGAAGATAGAAGCCATGCTATCTTGGCCACCACCTAAGTCAATCAAGCAACTAAGGGGATTTCTTGGTCTTACCGGATACTATAGACGTTTTGTCCAGAATTATGCAACCATAGCCTCCCCCCTCACTGATTTGTTGAAGCAAGGAGCTTTTAATTGGAGTGAGGAAGCACAGGAAGCTTTTGAATTCTTAAAGATGGCAATGGCAAGCACACCTATTTTGGTGCTGCCTAATTTCAGCCTTCCATTTGTCCTAGAAACTGATGCTTCCAATTCAGGTATTGGAGCAGTCTTATTACAACAGGATAGACTATTATCATTCTTCAGCAAACGCTTAGGACCAAGATTAGCTACAGCCTCTACATATGTGCGAGAATTATATGCCATCTGTGAAGCGGTGAAGAGGTGGCGACAATACTTACTTGGAGCTCATTTTACTATCCGGACAAACCATAGAAGTATCAAGGAACTGTTGGGGCAGACCATTCAAACCACGGAGCAGCAGAAATACTTGTGTAAATTACTGGGTTATTCATTTAATATTGAATATAAACCTGGTCCTTTGAATGTGGTTGCAGACGGATTGTCTCGTTGTTTTGAAGAGGACAACCTAGTTGCAGTTCATGCTTTACTTGGTGAACCAACCTTTGATCTACTGGCTCGAATTAAATAGGAGAATGGCAATGATATATATTTGATCTCTTTGCACCAGCAAGTAGCAACTGATCCTGGATCATTCCCTCAACTTTCGGTGAAAGAATGGAGGATGTTTCATAAGCAACGGTTTCTGTTGAGTCCTACATCCAAGATTATACCATAAATTTTACAAGAGGATCATGATTCCACATTGGGAGGTCATGCTGGAGTCCTGCGTTCTTTACTTCGTGTTTCCTCCTCTTTTTACTGGACTCAATGCGCAAGGATATTAAGGCCTATGTCCGCAATTGCCAAGTTTGTCAACAATTCAAATCAGCAACTTCAGCTCCACACGGCTTGCTTCAGCCACTGCCAACACCTGAGGGTGTATTTGAAGATCTCACCTTAGACTTTATTGTTGGATTGCCTTTATCTCACGGGTTTACTATAATCTTGGTTACTGTTGATAGATTGAGTAAATTTGCCTACTTTGGAGCTCTTCCTACATCATTCACAGCTGCTAAGGTGGCACATCTTTTTTGTGACATGATTGTTAGGAACCATGGTTTCCCTCGATCCTTGATATCTGACAGAGACAAAAAAAAATTTGAGCCAATTCTGGACCAGCCTCTTCAAGCAGAGTGGCACTACTTTGAAGGCCAGTACAACCTACCACCCCCCAAACGGATGGCCAAACCGAGGTCACTAATAGGTATGTTGAACAGTATCTTCAAATTTTCTGTCATGAGAAACCACATACTTGGTCCCAATTCCTCTGTTGGGCACAATTCCACTATAATACCACTGTCCATTCGGCCATTGGTATGTCCCTATTTGAGGCTTTATAAGGCAAGCAACCTGTGATGTTGCCTTATTATCCACGAGGGCTAGTGAAGGTGGAAGCAGTAGACTCCTTACTGCAAGAGCGAAATGACTTGCTCAAAGGATTGAAGACTTCTTTGGCTCGAGCTCGCAACCGGATGAAAAGCCAAGCAGACAAACATAGACAAGACAAGGTATTTGTAGTTGGTGATTTTGTGTGGGTGAAGCTTCAACCATACCGACAGGTTTCTGTAGAAAAGAGGTGTAATCACAAGCTCGGGAAACGTTTCTTTGGTCCTTTTAGAATCACCAAAGTCGTCAGTCCTGTGGCATACCAATTAGATCTTCCTGAAGGATGTAAGATCCACTCCACATTCCATATTTCGTTGCTTAAACCATGGTTTGGTACTAGTTCTCCACAACCAGTTTACATTCCCCAGTTGTCAATTGATAACAGACCGATTCAGGTCCCAATAGCAATTCTGTCTTCACGAACAATAGCAGCTCATGGTTCCCATCAGAAGGAATTTCTAATACAATGGTCTGCCTCACCACCGGAGGATGCATCTTGGGAGAAGGAACAGTACTTGCGATTGGCATATCCAGATAT